TGACAGACAGAGGCTTTCTGAGGTGATACGGAAGTTTCAAATACACAGATTTACTTTCTTCACTTTATTTTGGCCACAAAACCACTGCTTCAGCAAAGCATTCTGGATCCGAGACCATCACTTCTAGCAAGGATCGAAGGACACAGGTATTAAATCTGTTTTTAATACATCAGTGTGACTGTTCTGTAGTTTAAATGTCAGGAAAATGATGTATTAAGAGTTTGGTCTTGTCTCTCTTTAATGTAGCCAAACATTGGGAAACTATGAGGCTCTAATCCTGCAAAGAGAGTTCTGGCCAATGGTTAGACATCCCAATAGAAGGATCAAAGCTTGAATTTTAAAAGGTGAGAACATAAATTAGAACCTTTTCTTTGGAATAGTCCTGAAATACATGCAGTAAACTACATTAATGTCGCTTTTCATTGAGAGCCTCTAATATAAGCTTACTTGTAATTTAATAGGTATGTGTCGATACTATCAAATGCACAATCACATAATTTGGTTTGGTGTTAAAAGAGATTATATAAATACTTCTACTTTGTATGCTTGATAACTTGTGTTCTGTAGTCTCTTTCATGTTGCCTATACATCTCTCATACACTAAAAAAGAAGTATCTTAACAGAATATGGTTATAAAAGTACAAAATATGCTTTAAATATTTTTTGGAACTTAGCTAAAATCTAAGCAGTCTGGGGAATCTCTACAGAGCCTGTGAAATCCAGAAAAATACCAAATCTTACTTTAGTACCAAAAGTTGCACTAAAGTGTTCAGACTATGGCTCTTTTAATTCTTTCTGGCATCAGTGGTTGAGAAAAATGTTTTTAAAATTTTAAGATAGATCAGCATTCTCCATCGAGTTTGAACTGTGTAGATTGAGGAATTTATTATCAAAAATTTGTTATCACAAGATAATGAAATTTGTTCCTTCCAATCCTGTGGCAAACAGGGAGTTAGCTCTCTATACTTACAAACAGCTAACATGCCTTATATGCCCTCATTTTTTAGGCCACAGATTTAATCAGGGAAATCTATGAGGGAAACCTACAGTTGTGTCTTCCCCAGCAACTGACTCAGTAATATATACTTGCCTGCTGCCAGCCCTGGTAGCAAGTTTATTCCTAAAGCTAAATCTAAGATTAAGTTTACCTTGCATCTGATCTAGCAAGTGTGCAGCCACAGTGTGAGCTGGTTCGGTAAGGTGACACCAATAAAATTCATTCATAGAATCATAGAATCATTAAGGTTGGAAAAGACCTCTAAAATCATCAAGTCCAACCGTTAACCCAACACCACCATGCCCACTAAACCATGTCCCTAAGCACCTCATCTACACGTCTTTTAAACACTTCCAGGGATGGGGACTCCACCACTTCCCTGAGCAGCCTGTTCCAAGGCCTGACCACTCTTTCAGTGAAGAAGTTTTTCCTAATGTCCAGTCTAAACCTCCCCTGGCACAACTTGAGGCCATTTCCTCTCATCCTGTTGCTTGTTACTTGGGAGAAGAGACCGACCCCCACCTCGCTACAACCTCCTTTCAGGGAGTTGGAGAGCGCGATGAGGTCTCCCCTCAGCCTCCTCTTCTCCAGGCTAAACAGCCCCAGTTCCCTCAGCCACTCCTCATCAGACTTGTGCTCCAGGCCCTTCACCAGCTTCGTTGCCCTTCTCTGGACACGCTCCAGCACCTCAGTGTCCTCCTTGTAGGGAGGGGCCCAAAACTGAACACAGGATTTGAGGTGCGGCCTCACCAGGGCCAAGTACAGGGGCACGATCACCTCCCTTCATTTCTTTTGGTGAGTTAACCTTTCATCAGATCAGTGGAAGCACCATGGTATCTAGTCCATCTACCCTGGATGAGGCAAAATGTCAAACAGCACCCAAAGGTGCAGTTAAATAGCAGAATAAAACAGTATAAATTAGCTGCAAGGAAAGCCGTCAGCTTCCTGAACTGGTGTACTATGCAACCGTGCTAGCGCTGTGGTAAGACAACAGGTCAGATCCTGCCAACGGGAGTGGAAAAGAGAGCGAGAGTAACCCAGACCAGCCTGAAGCATCCTGGGATCCACTGGGATCCACTCTGAGGATGCTCCAGGGGCAGTCTGTCACTCATGTCACTGAAGCAGAGATCTGAGCTGAACAGACTCACTCACACCAATTGCACATAACAAAAACACAGTTAACGACCAAGCACAGAGACCTTTTCTTTTACACCTGTTTGAATTTAATAAAGAAAGTTGTTTTGAGTTGCAAACATAAAAGAAGGCTTATAACAAGTGCCTTGCACGCTCCTTTTTCTTTTTGGAGAAATTTGAAGAGTGTCAATAGAATTTGTCCACCTTGAGGTCTCAGCTCATTTAAATGAGCAACAAAAAACATCTGGACAATATTAGTAATGAAATAAATAAAAAGAGACATTGGAATTAATCAGTGTAAAAAAATGGTTCAAATACATGAAACTTTTCCTTGTAATCACTGCAAACTGCAATATCGGTCATACATAAATGCCTTAGTTACAGCAGGCAAAATTTTCAATTGTAAGAATGTGGAGATGAAGTATGGGGTTTATTTTAAAGACACAATGTTTAATGACTGGAAACAAACCCCCCAAGACCGAGATTTTTCAAGACGCATCATGGATAAGCCTGTATCAGACTGTCTCTCCTGAAGGAGTCCTAAAATGGTGAGGCTTTCTTTTCTACTTTTACGTCAGAGAGTATTGGAAATAGAGTTTAAAAATATTATCCAAGGCTACATAACCAGTTCTTCACAAAAATAATTACCTTCACTGGATAATAATCTCATAACTAATAGTTCTATGATACGAATTTTTAGGAAATAAAGACAAAACCAGATATTCAGGCCCCTTCCATTTGCTGAAAAAGTAAACAGAAAAAGAATAATTAGAAAGTATGTGATTAAGGCATAGAAATGAGCTTGGCTGGAGCCTAATCTTGTACTTTTTACTGTCTAAAATTAGATGTTGCTTGTTCAGTGCACTGAAAATACTGAAGAGACAGACAAGAAAAAACAAGGAAATAAATCCCTCAGTAGTTCAAAATGAAAAGAAACCCAGTTTTCATTGGGTTGTCACTGGAGAGGGAA